ACCCTGAACCCTAAACCCCTAAACCTATGGAAGTGAGTATCTAACCAGCAGCCCTCCAGGCAGACAGACAACACTGCGGAGTAAGGAGCACTTTAGCGGCCCCACCTGTTGCGCTGTAAACTTGGGGCTTTAGGGTTGAAGGCCCATTGCAGCATGGTCTGCGAAGTGTATTCCTGCTGCGCGACATGACAGACGTCAGCTAATCTGGAACCCTTGCAAAACCCCTTATCAAGCCTTCTGGGGCCCATAAGCCCGGCTTAGAACCCTCAACAAACCCTCCAAGACCCATTTTTAGCCGCCTAGAACCCTAGCAGCAACTTGAAGCTCTAACGCAGGATGGGCAGCTGGACCTGATTGCAGACGATGTCGGCAGAATGGCATCTCTGCAGGCCGGGCTAGCGGACGTACTTCGGTCTCCATGCAGAGCCCAGGTTTAAGTGTCTCGCACCGGAAGTTTCACATCTCAGCGATGATGGCCCGAGGATCCCGCACCTTCTTGAACCGGGGTCTGAGCCCTAAACTCTAAACCCGAAACCCTAAACCCTAAACCCTAAACTCTAAACTCAAAACTCTTGAGCCCTAAACCCTAAACCCTCCTAAACGCTAAACCTCTGCAAGCGCTCCCCAGGTGGACGATGAGTTGAAGCTTCTTCTCCGTGCGATTCCTCTCGCGGCGGCGCCTCTTTGATGCAGCTCCAGATCAAAGGGTTCAGGGTTTTCAGGGGTTTAGACTCTTTAGGGTTTACAAGGTTTAGGGTTTCGGGTTTAGGGTTTAGATTTCCGAAAATTGGGGTACCTTATTTTGGGGTCCTTAAAATAAGGGATCCTACTATTTAGGGCACTATAGAAGGGTCCCCTATTTTCGGAAACCCCCAGATCAGAGTGAGACGGAAGATTTCCGGGTGCACTCCGAGTAACCCCGAAATCCCCATCCCCACTGCTCTGCAGCCTGGAGGCTTGCTCCGCCTCCTCTTCTCGCATCTCAGTGTTTTTGAGCTAGGCCAACAAAAAATCCGTGCACACAACAAATCATAAACCCCAAATCCAAGCATTCCTCATACCCTGAATTCCGCCTCGCAAAACTCTACAGCTGTATACCTTAGAGTTGTAAAACCCTACAAAGTTCCTTGTAGAAGCCCGGTAGAAGCCCTGCAGAACATGTAGTTACCCTATATCAGCCCTAAGCGCGAAACACTAAACCGTATACAGTATACATCAGCCCTACACCCCCGCACCTTTACGTGCCAGGCTTCGCCGACCCAACCTCTGGCGCACCTCGCCCGTGGATTTGGACCCCGCCTCTCGCGAGAGGCGCCGCCTGGGGGTTTCTTTGTTTTTTGTTGGAAATATTGGAATTTTTAGAAATTTTGGAATTTTTAGAAAATTTTGATTTTTTTCGAAATTTTGGAATTCTTGGAAATTTGGATCGCTGGGGTTTGCTGTCGGGTCCTTTGACAGATTGGGGCTTGGGTTTGCTGTTTAGGGCTTAGGACTTTTGGGCGTTGAGGGTCCTACAGGGTGGACCCACATAGTCCCTCAAGGATTGCGAGAGAGATACACCTAAGCCCTAAACCCAAAACCCTAAACCCAAGACCCTAAACTTTCCTAAGCCCTAAACCGAAGTATCCACGTTGAAAGCAACCTGGGGTCTCCGAATATTTGATTTTAGGGCCGTTTAGGCACGTCAAAGGTTTCAGAGCTGTGCTAGGAACTTCTGTCGAGGGCTTTACATTGGGGTGCTTCATCAGCGTCACACTGCTAAGGGGCGTCCAAAGGAACAGACTTCCTTACTGCTGGTCATTTTCAACCCCGAGAGGAACGTGAAGCCCCTAAACCCAATAAGCCCTAAACTCTAAACCCTAAACCCTAAAACCCAAAACCCTAAAAACTCTTAACTCTAAAACCCTAAAGCCCTAAACCCTAAAACCTAAAACCGGCCCAAAACCCAATAAACCCCACACACAAGAAGCGACAGAGAGATCTACGGGAGACCGCGAAGTCTCCAAGAACGTTCAGCCTGGGGATCCAACAGGTGCTCTTTACATCTATCTGTATGCTTTAGGCTTTAGGGTTGAATGGTTTTAGGGCTCTAGGGTTTTAGGGTTTAGGGTCTGCATGCTTCAGGGTTGAGGGGTTAGGATCTGTTCAGCTTTTACTGTGAAAGGTGAAAGTCGTTACCGGGCCTTTGTTTTGCCAGCAGTCAAGCGGGAATAAAACAAAGAAGGAGGCAATACTTTTTGGCCGGTCGGTTGCTTCCCATTGGCCTGTGCGTTCAAGGGTGTTACCGCTTCCGGTCGTGACGTCTTTGCCTTCGCCCTAACCGTAGCGTTCAAAGGGGTCTAGTAGCTTCCGATTAGGGTCGGTTCGGCCTTTCACCGCTGCCCGTAGGGTTTAATGGCTTTTGGTTGTATGGGAATGTATGGTTTAGGGGTTCAAGGTTTGGGTGTCAGGGTTCACTGAAAGAGACTGTCTCACATGCCCTTGAGCTGAGAACTGATTCCCAGGCTGTGGGATTTGTCTACCCAAGTCCACTCTTTCGACGTGTTCATCTCTCACACTTGGCAGACGTCTGGACTTCGGAAGTATCTGTCCCTTCTGCTGCAGTCTGGCTGGAAGGCGCGGGTTGCCAAAGCAGGCCTACTTCAAGCCCAAACAGAATTGAAGCCCTTCAAAATTAAATCATGAGCCCTACAGGCTGAAGATGATTCCGGGCTTAGGGATTTAGGGCACGGGTTTAGAGCGTAGGGCTTGGGCGGGCGGCGGTTAGGGTGCAGACTCTTCTACAACCCCTAAACCCTAAACCCTAAAACCCAAATCCCTAAACCCCAAACCCTAAACCCTACTCCCTAAACTCTAAACCCTAATCCCTAAATCCTAAAACCCTAAACCCTAAAGTCAACTCACGGTGGAACCCCTTCGAAAGCCCTCCTTCAAGGCCCAAAAGATAGGAACCTGAAGGCTTCGTTGCTGAAGCTTCGGGTTTTAGGGTTTAGGGAGTAGGGTTTTGGGTTTAGGGATTTGGGTTTAGGGCTTAGGGTTTAGGGATTTGGGTTTAGAGTGTAGGGATTAGGGTTTAGGGTTTAGGGATTTGGGTTTAGAGTTTAGGGATTGGGGTTTAGGGATTTGGGTTTAGGGTTTAGAGTTTAGGGATATCGGTTTAGGGTTTAGGGTTAGGGTTTAGGGATCCTAGTGCTCCCCCCGCCAGACAAGCCTTTGAGAATCTGACGGCCAAGGCCCTTATGTCGAACCCACAAAGCCATATACACCCCCGAGGAGGATGATACAGACCCTCTAGAATCCTGAGAAAGCCTGAAAGCTTTATCTCCTGTGAAGCCTCTCGAAGCCGGAAGCCGTGAGGTCAGGGGTTTAGGATTTGCTTGAAACGCCCTAAACCCTAATCCCTAATCCCTGGTTGTATTGTGTTGGATTTAGGGAGAGCAGTGGGAGTGACATCGCCCAGACAACAAGGTTTCTCGTTGCCTTTGACCCCCCAAGATCTGAAATAGGGCTAGGCACAGGGTCACTGGCTTATTAACCTTGTTCTGCAAGTTCACAGTTTCCCAAAGACAACCTCGCCTGTGGACATTGATCCCTAGCCATGCGAGAGGGAAAAAAATCCCGAAACCCTAAACCCTAATCCCTAAACCCTAATCCCTAATCCCTAAACCCTAATCGCCCTTGAGGTGGCTACTCTTTCGGGCGTTGCTGCAGTGGCTGCTGTGTTCATCTTCGGTGCCACATCGGTTCTCCCATTGCCTTTCCAGCGCCTGGGTTAGGGTTTAGGGTTTGGGGTTTGGGGTTTAGGGTTTAGGGTTTATGGCTTGTGATTAGCTCTTGGCGGCGAAGTGCCGAGCCCGGGAGTCATTGCGCCACATGACTTTCGCTGCTGCAGTAGCTTCACAGCAAATCCTAAACCCTAAATCCGAACCTGCCATGCCTGCGTGAGCGAGTGTGTGAGTCGAAATCCGAAAGTAGCTGGAAGGTGTAAAGGTTTCTTCTTTGTAATTGTAAACTAGAACTACAAGTTGCAACAGTAACAGTAACACTGCCACCCTAAGCCCCAAACCCTGAAACCTGGGTTCTAACTGTAGAATCCTTATAACCCTTCAAGGAGACACCCTAAACCCCAAATCCTAAACCCCTAAGCCCCTAAACCCTAAAGCCCTAAACCCTAAAGTCCAAACCCTAAAGCCCTAAACCCTAAAGCCCAAACCCTAAAGCCTTAAACCCTAAAGCCTTAAACCCTAAACCCTAACGCCCTAAACCCTAAAGCCCTAAATCCTAAACCCCTATGCCCCTGGGCCCTAAACCCTAAAGCCCAAAGCCCGAAGCCCGCCTAAGAGTCGAGGATAACACCATCGCAGTGGGACTTTGAGGAGACGTGCCCTTTTGGGCCTTGGGGCTGCCCCTGGGGTCTTCTTGGTTTAGGGTTTTAGGGGTTTAGGGTTGAGGGTTTAGGGTGTGTCTACATAGCTGTACATATATATATATATAACGTGTATATTTTCCTTCTTAGTATGTTTCTGTATTTGTTTATCTAGTACATATGTATGTATGGATGCATGTATGTAGGTATTTGTGTAGGAGACATATTCGTGGCTAGGGTTTCGGGTCTAGGGTTTCTTATCAGGGCATAGGGTTCAGGATATGTAGTTTTCCGGCCTTGGGGCTTGGGGAACAAAACCCCGTTATAGTTATCTTGGACTCAACCCTAAACCCCTACACCCTAAACCCTACACCCTAAACCCTAAACCTTAAATCCCAAACAAGAGCCCAGGTCTTTCTGGCAGCTTTGTCACCCTTCTTGGGTGGCGAGGTGGCAGTTTGTGATACTGGTAGGGCTTTGGGTTCAGGGCCTAGGGTTTAGGGCTTAGGGTCTAGATGGGTTAGAGTTTCCTCCAAGCTCTTACAAAGGCACCTATTGACAAATCCTGTTGGTGACTCGCAATGAACAGCCCAGGTTGTTCATCTCCCCCCACTTCCCTTACCGCAAATCTTCGATGTGCTTCCTGGACATCGTCAGCATCAACCAGGTCAACCCAGATCTCACCGAGATTGGAGTTTATGGAATTGGAGGTTTCCTGGGCCCGTAATTTTTTTTCCTAAGGTTAGCCCGGGGGCCCTTGGCAACGTTGGCGGTCCACCCTGAAGACCGCACCCTTAAAATCCGAAACCCCGAAACCATCCTAAACCCCATGTCCATTGTCTTCTATTTGTCTGCTTCTTGCGATGGCGAGCTGTCTGGCTTCGCGAGCCAGAGCTTCCTTTTCATCTAAGAGGGAAGTAAGAGAGAGAGAGAGAGAGAGAGAGAGAGAGAGGGAGCCCTGCAAATTACAATTCGCCAATACTAGTTTGCGGCAAAATGCAATTCCCCAATAGCTTGCGGCAAACCGTGACTCTGCAAATTGCAATTCCCCAATAGCTTGCGGCAAAACGCCACCGTGCACAGTACAGTTCCCCAATAGCTTGCGGCAAACCGTGACCCTGCAAATTGCAATTCAACCAATAGCTTGCGGCAAAACGCCATCCTGCAAATTACAATACCCCATGCAATAGCTTGCGGCGAAACGCCAACCTGCAAATGGCAATTCCCCAATGGCTTACGACAGAGCTCGGGAATTGCAAATTGCAATTCCCGAAGAGCCTGCGGCAAAACGCCACCCTGCTAAATTGCAATTCCCTAAGAGCTTGATGCAAAAGAGTAGCAAATGCTGCAAGGCCTAGTATTTGAAGGCCGAAAAAGAAGAGCCAACGTTAGCAAGCGAGACCGGAGACCGCCAACCTTAGGAAACAAAAAAAAGTGCTCCGCCGAGGTTTCCTGAGTGTCGCAAAGGAGCTGCGAATCCTGTGGTCTGTACCATACATGTCCAGGCTCTGGTGTCTTGGCACCACTTTCCTGTTTGGCAGTTTTGATTTGGGTTCGGTTGCTATCGCAGCCTGAAAAGCAGCAATGCTATTCTTAGTTCCTAGTTATCACTAATATATTATAGTATACCACAAAATCGCATTGCCCAGCCTACAGATTCACTCGAAAGATTCAATCAAAAGCAGCTTCTTGAGCAATTTCCGCGCGCACCTTCTTGAGCCTGTATGGGTTGCTGCAGAAGACCTCGTGTGTTGTAGGAAGTTTCTCAACTTTTGACTGAGCCGCCGAACCTTGTGCGTAGATGTCCGCATCCGCGTGACTTCACTGTACAGTCGTTAGACAGTTAGTCGTTAAACTATGACTCGATGTTGCATTGCATTGGTGAAATCATCCCAGAACTTAGCTAGATGACTAGCTCAAAGCGAAGCTAGACATTTCTGTGATGCACAAGACATCTGTAGCTGTACTCGCCTCCGACTTCTGTCCGCTCACACACCAAAATCCCGTTCTACAAAATCCTGTTCTAGTTATTCATCAAGACTCCAAGACTCCTAGGTTAGTCATAGTGGGTAGCCCAAGGTGTATCTTCGAGATCGCAGCATACCGACGTGCGAACCCCCGGGGCAGGATTGTCATGGCACCCATTTTTGTTGAGACCGTGGTATTCTGCATGTGGGCGTGCATGATGGCTTGCGCAGCGTGGATTTGGATGTCTATAGGGTTCTTCTTGCGCGAGGGAGGCTTCTTTACCATTCTGGCTCTCACGGTGGTTCTCATGCCCGTGTGCCTGGCCATACACCTTCTGCGCCGCACGCTCAACAGCAAGCATGCGCTCCTGGAAGGCCTCTCCTCTTTCGACCTGCAGCATGCGCATTGTCGGCTAGAGCACGACCGTCTCTTCGTGCACCTGGGTTCTTGTTCAGGCAGTAGAGGTCTTCCATACAGCAAATAAGTGTTCATCAGAGCAAACCCTAAAGCCTAAACCCTAAACCCTAAAACCCTAAACCGAAACCGGTATGTCACCGAAAGCCCTTGGTCCCCTTGTCCCCTAAACCCTAAACTGGGTTCTTCTTAGGGAATTTAATTTAAGGTGCCCCGAAAATAGGGAACCCAAAGATAGTACCTAAAGTAGGATCCTTATTATCAGGACCCCCCAAAATGAGGTACCCCCTTATTTTCGGAATCAGTTGTCTCCTAACCCCTAAAGACCCTAAAGCCTCGACAAGAAACCCAGGCACAAGGCCATCCACGACTGGTATGGTAGTGCTGATGCATTCACCGAGCACGTGCGAGGGCCTCTGAAGGAGGAGTTGCTAAAGTCTTCTTCAAACTTTATGGTTCCAATATACTATTATCCTCTTCTCATGATGCCGCTTCTTGGGCTGTTTTGGCAGGAATTTTTTACAAGGTTTAAGGTTCTGATGTGGGCTCTAACGATTTCCGAGTTTTTTAGATGTTTTTGGGACAAAGCCTTCATCAAAGTGACAGTTTGTCCCTGGCCTCTTAACGCGACCGTGGCTCGAGGTTTGTGGGCGAGAGTCTGGATGAGGTGCTAGCGTTTTACATGGGAGGTGCTTCTTGGAGGAACATCCTTGCCCATCTGCTGGCTCACACCGTCGGACTCTGCATGTGGTACATCATGGCGCTAGAGCTCTGCATCTTCCGGAGCTACCGCTGGGCGGCACCTTGCAAGCAAGTTGCCTGGAACATCGCGCAAACCGTCGCCATCTTCCTGCTGCCAGCTCTTGTGATTGGCTTTGGTTCTATTGCTGCCCGTGCTTCACTCTGCAGAGGCTTCGCTCAAGGCGTCGTCTTTTCCCTCTTCGCGGTGTCTGTATCTACCTTCGTTGTGCGTCGTCTTCGCCGGCAGGTGCAGCTATGCAATTGCTGTTGACCGTGGCCGATCACGATGGACCTGCGGAAAAGGGGCTACCTCTAATCACTTCGACTCGATGATTTCATGTCACATCGTGGTCCTTGCTCTTGCATAGAGTATTCTACTATGTGTTACTGTGTGTACGTATGAACCAATAGCCCAGTACATGCCATGGTATCCACAACAGAACCCAAGCGACGAAACCGCACGGCAAAACCACCCAGGCCTAGACATGTGGGTTCTAAATTAGGGTCCAGGTCGCGTGTTAGCGTCTAGGGCGTAGGGTTGAGGGGCAGGGCGTAACATCGGGGCCTTAACAGTTCGACTAGGGTTTTGATTTCTTGGGGCAAGTTCTGGGATGAACTGAGCACGTGGAACCGATTGCCGTGGCCTGAGGTACCTTTCCCCTGCCATGTAGAGGAAGTAGGGAGGCTTCTTGAAGAACCGGGTCCCCGTTTGGTATTTAAGTAGAAGATCCTGGCATGGGACTTAGGGCCTAGGGTCTAGCCGGAAACCCCTTAAGTAAGCAATGCAGCTGAAATGTTAGGGCACACGGGGATGCCTTAATGTGATTCACACTCTGTTCCTGCAGCAAGGGGTGTTCGAGTCTCTGCTCAAGGGGGATAGGGTCCTAGGCTTCGACTTCGGAACAGGCAGGTGGTTTAACGGTATGGAGATAATAGGATTTAGACCCTAAGCCCTAAACCCTAAACCAGCCTACCCCTAAATCCCAAAACCCTAAACACTAAACCCTGGGATGTAAAGCCTAAGGGTTTAACCGACACCCTGGTATTGTTGAAAGCGGACAAACCCCAAGCCCTTCGGCTTCCAGTTGACGTCATGTCGAAAGCTTTGTTTTTAGGGGTTTAGGGTTTAGGGGTTTAGGGTTTAGGGTTTAGGTTTAGGGTTGAGGGTTTATTATTCGGCTTGGACCCGTCAGAAGCTTTTGTTGCAGATGCTCACTGTAAGAAATCATATGAGTAGTTATCTAAATTAGGGTCCCTCTTTAGGCCCGAAAACCTTAACGCCCTGAAACTCTAAGCCACTGACCTGAGTCTAAAGCAGCAACAAAACCCCCTTGAAACACACTCTACTTGGAGGTTCATGGGTAGTTATAAGTTGGGTTATAAGTCTTTAAGTATTATAACCCATATTAGGAGACTTATAACCCCATTTTTTACTACCCCTGAACCTCCAAGTAGAAGCCTTGACAACCCAAGTGACCCAGCGACCGAAAAAGCGCGAAGCACCCTTGGAGCTTGGAAGCCCCAAGCGCGAAACCCGAGACCCTAAGTCCCACAGACTAAATGGGCCCTAAACCCCAAGTCCCAAACCCTGATCTCTAAATGCCAAACCCTAATCCCCAAACCCTGAACCCTGAGCCCTCAACCCTAAACCCTGAACCAAAAACCCAAAACTCCAAATGCCAAACCCTAATCCCTGAACCCTGAACCCTAAACCCTAAAACCCTGAACCCTAAACCCTAACCCCTGAACCCTGAAACCCAAGCCCCGAAGGCCCATGGTGCGTGGCTTAGACTGTGAGATGGTCGGGGTCGGCCCAGCCGGAAAGCCGGAGCCCTAGCCAAAGAAAGTAGTCCCTACTGTTGATGATCTAAATCCTGCATTACTTTAAGGACCCTAAACTATGGGAAATATGGTATACTCCTTATTATGGGTACTGCAGGACTTATAGCATCAACCGTACCTTCGCGTGTTGTTGGGTGGGTCTAGCGGTTCGCAGTGCGGAGGCGGTTTAGGATGGTGGTTCCAGCTGCAGCTAGAGGATTCTGGGGGATCGCGGGTTGAGGATTTCGTGTTCGGAGACACTGAAACCCTAAACCCTAAACCCTTTGTGCGAGAGGGAAAAAACCCTTTGTGTGCTTTAAGGCATGTTATGGTTTGTAGGGATGGGATGGCTCTTCTATTGCTTCTTCTATAGGCTGGTGCGGTTTGGAATGAATTTCCGGCCGCAGTGCATTTTACTCTTAGAGGGCTTATGTTTCAGTTCAGGTTGGATAGAATAGAAGTTGCGACACAGCCACAGTGCATGCCACCAGATCTTGTTCCGTTTTTGCTTGCCGGTGGTTTTTCTGCTGCGGACTTAGTATCGACTTGTGAAATAGCGAGGTAATTGATTCTGAATGATCGCCAAATCATGTCACCAAGATCACAACGACAAGAGGTAGCAACAGTTCAGTACTGGGGTCAGTTGGCTACTGTAGTGCTTGATAGAGCTTTCGTGCTGGTTGCTGCCACCACCACCCCCCACCAGCAGGAACACCATCATCACCTCAACCACCATCATCCCGATCACTCTGAGCACCTTGAGCACAATCGGCAGCATCACACACTGACCATCACCGTCAGCAGCACCAAGGTTCATCACCGCACCCAAGCGCAGTATCAGCATCTTTCCCGGAATCATCATCATCGACATCCTCGTCAGTTTCTTATCATCGTCATCACCACCATCAGAATAATTACCATCTCTTCTTCTTTGTCATGTTCATCTTTATCATCGTCACCGGCACTGAGTCAGCCGGTACGCTGTTCCTGCCCTGGCTGGTTCCTGCGCTGCGTGCCGGGTCCATGTCTCGGCGTCTTGGTTTGGTCTGAACGGTGTCCATCCGTTTATGTCGCTGTCTCTGCGCTGTCCTGTGTCGATTTCCGGCAGGCCGGGCTTCGGACTTCTGAGAGCCACGCCGCGCTGGTTCTGTGGTTTTGGATAAGAGCCGGCGCCGTTCTGTTTCCCCGGCTAGAGAAACCAATTCCTGGGGCTTTGCAGAGCGCTTTGCACGTTGTAGGATTCGCAGGCTAGACAAAGGAGTCGAGTTAGCTATTCAGCTTTTGGTTAGCACACGGTAGCATTCGCAGTACTCCACCATAGAGAGCATAGGTTTGCCCCACTGATACCATCCAGTGTGCCCGGCAAGAACACCATTACGGACGACTACGAGGCAACACCGCCAGCTATAGCCAGGTCGGAACAATTTGTAATTCTATCCCCTTATAAAATCCCTTTAATACTCTGGTACACTATGCCCCAGAGCCCTGTTCCAATTATCAAGGCCTTATACTACTCCCAGGCGGTCGGTGCTCATTCGGATCTCGGTGGTCAGCTGGCAGGGTCGGGCTTCTCGGTGACAAAGAGTTATGGGGGTTTAGGGTTTAGGGTTCAACTTCGGGGCGCTTGTTTAAGGGGTCCCGAATAAAAACGGGGCCCACAACTCGGGGTCGAGAACGCTGGTAGAGCCCTGCTTCAACAACCGAAAGCTGGTGCCCTTGTTGCTGCTAGTGCCGCCGTTTAGGGGTTTAGGGGTCCAGGGATTTAGGGTTCTGGCCGGGCGAGCTCAGTTCAAGCCTGTGGAAAAGGCAAAGGAGTAGTAACAGTAGTAATCAGTAGTAGTAGTAGCAGCAGAAGCAGTAGTAGCTGTTGTCCCAAACCCCTGCTCTGGCGAGTGCCAGCCGCTTCGGCGGTGGGAAAGCGAATCCGTCTAAGTTAACGATGGAAGAAAGGGGAGGTTTAGGATGTAGGGTTGCGGGTGTACGGTTAAGGCTTTAGGCTTAGGATATAGGGTTTGTGCGCGTTGAAGTATTATATAGTACCCCATAGGATCTGGAATGGGTCTCGTTCGTCGTTGGACATGACCGCATCGCTCAAACGCTATTTACGACCCTGAGCTGTGTTTCCGTTGAAAAGTTTCCTAACCCTCCAGGTACCTACTGCTATAATATAGGGTCCTAGAGGCTCTAGTACCCTATATAGCAGGTACCTGGGGGGTTAGGGTAAGGTTTAGGGTTCACAAGGTGCTGTTCGACTGCCTCACAGAGCCAGAAGAGCAGGCATGACCGACCTGGCTGGCTTCAAAATGGGGGAGCTCAACCTTTCTTTGGCATCCAGGGATACGATATTATCTTTGGGATCTTTTTTTGGGGCATTGTCAAAACGTGATTCCCTTTGTTTGATTTCAGCTGAGGGTAAATTTTGTGTCTAGCTGTTTCGGGGCCTTGCATAACTTGCATAGGATGTGAACCTGCCACCCACGCATTAAAACAAAACAAACAATTGAAACCCAGACACCCCTAAATCTTCTCAGCGTCTGAAACGAGAGTTTCTTTTCCTGTCTGCCGACTCGAGAAGACCAAAGCCCAAAGCCCCCAAAGCCCTTGAACCTGTACACCCTAATAGGGTTTAGGTTTGAGGTTTTAGGGGGGATCGGAAGAAACAGTAATGGTATCCCCTTCTAGTCCTTGTAACAGTATACCGCAATACACCCCAAGACCTGGTTCTAACTGTTAAGGCCCCTATAAACCCTACACCCGGAACGCTGGACGCCTTCCAGTCCGTGAAGCGCGAGCAGCTGCAGCTCAGCGAGTGGATGAGAGACCCACCCATACTCCTCGAGAGTTTCGAGGCCATTCGAGGCCAACAACATGTCTTTCACGCCGATGCTGCAGAAGGTCGTCGAGGGCTATGAGGTGCTGGCGGAGCGGGAGGACACTTGCGACCAACATCTAGGCAAACATTGAAAGCCGTCAAAACGCGATGCATCCCCCCCAAACGGTTCTCTATGTTTTGACACTCCCAGAGAGCCCAATACAGCTTGATTAAGGATTTAAGGCATATGCCTTAGTAAAGGGGTATTGGGCTCGCTGAAACCCTTATAGTAACCCTTATAGAACCCCTTTGTGGTAACCCTTATAGCACCCCTTATATGGTAACCCTTGTAGTACCCCTCATTATAGCACCCCTTATGGTAACCCTTGCAGAACCCTTATCATAGCACCCCTTATGGTAACCCTTGTAGAATCCTTAATTAAGAAGCCCCTTTTTACTGTCGGGGCAGTCCCCGAACCCTAAGCCCTAAACCCTAAACCCTAAGCCCTAAGCCCTAAACCCTAAACCCTGAACCCTGAACCCTTAATTAAGAAGCCCCGTTTTTACTCTCTGGGGAGTCCCCGAACCACGGACGCGACCTGCCTCAGAGAGCAGGTCACGGACTGGCGCACCAAGCA